CCAGTTGGGCCGCTTTTACTATGCCAATGAATAAAAGCTTAGCAAAAGTTTGTCAAGTAAATAGGGTCAATGACATGCTAAAGAAAAAATAAAATATATATATTTTTAATTCTAACACATCTAGTTTTAAATGCATTCAAGATGTTCTCTTTGTATTCATGTTGGTTTCATATAGTTTTAAAAAGCATTTTCAAGAAAAGTTGAAACTTAATTTGTTTAAAAATATCAAGTGGTGTAACTATCAAATAAAACATTCTATTCATCACAGTTTTCAACATTGATAATTACAAAAAAAAAATTTGAGCACCATATTAGAATGATTAGTATATTAGAATATCAGCATATTAGAATGATTTCTATCCAAGATGATAGAATGATTTAGGTTCTGGTCTAGGTTATGATCTAGATTCTTCTTAGGATCATGTGACACTAAAGACTGGAGTAATGGCTACTAAAAAAAAAAATCAAGTTTGCCATCACGGGAATAAATTATTTAATCATAAATAAAAATACATTAAAATAGAAAATAGTTATTTTAAATTGTAATAAAAATTCACAATATGACTGCTTTTACTGTATTTTTAACAAATAAAAGCAGCCTTAATAACCATAAGAGGCTTTGCTCAAAAACATCTTACCGTCCATAAACATTGCACCGGTAAAACTAGAAAGAGTTTGAAAATGTGACATTCACATTAAGCCAAAAAGTTTATAACCTAAAAAATGACCACATACAGGTATCACTGCAGTCAAAACAGACAAAGCTGCTTACAACAAACCCCATGGTTGTTTGACAGGGGAGCAGTCTATTCTCAAATGTCAGCTAATAAGTCATGTGTACAGAGTCTAAGACCAGAGTAATGGTACTTAAAACACTGCTATCAGTCCATATATCATCTGACAGCATTCTGATCATTCAAAGCAAAGCACACATTTCTTATTTTCAACACGGATCCCTGAGGATCAACCTAAGAGCATCTTTCATATTACTGTCCCATTTGCAAATACTTGGAATCAGAGCCGGGTCTAGGGGGGGCCCCAAAAAAATGTCCAGCCAAAAAAAAAACCAAATAAGCATTAAACACTTATTATTTGTACTATCTAAATAAGGATCAGTCACTTTGTTCAAAGGAAAAAATTTACAATTATGTACATAATGACATTTGAACTCATAGCCACAAAATCGTATTACCGTATTGACCCGAATATAAGACGATGTTTTTTTTCTTGGAAATACATCTGAAAAAACACGGTCGTCTTATATTCAGGGTCTAGACTTTGACATGTCAATAATACACCCACAACAATAGGTGGCGCCAAATACGCATAAAACGAGTGTGCCATGAAATACGTAATGTAATGCGTGTTGTAAAGATCGTGAGTAAAAACAAAAGAAAAAGAAAACCTTACAGCTGCATGAGTCGTGACTGTCACGTTAGCCTGATGGGACCAAACTCCCTTTGTGATTTTAAAACGTAAGACAGTACCCAGATTTGAAGACTACAGTAAGATTTAACTTCTACTGTTAATAAGATTTTGGTAGGCTACTATTAGATGGATAGCCTAAATGTCCTAATTCAGATGGGCAACCTGTTTTGTTTTTTTAATGGTATATCAAAAAGTGAATATTTTTTAAATGTGATTGTTGGTACATTTTAACAGTTTTTACCATACTTTCAAAACAAAAATTAAAATAGGAAAAATATGCAATATGAAAATAATTGAAGACAAAATGTGTTTTACTGAGAAAAAACAAGATTTGGTTTTTAAAAAGCCTTTTTCAAAAAGGTACATCTGGAAAAAGGGGGGGTCGTCTTATAATCAGGGTCGTCTTATATTCGGGACAATACGGTACATAACA